TACTCAATATATTGTGTTGGCGCAATTGTGCTAAATCAATTCGTTAACGCATGACAGCGCGTTTACGTCAATGTATCAACGCATGAAAAATTGCGGCATTACCCACCCCTAGCTGTCATAAATATCAAACACTTGTCAAAGCCAGCTTCTAATTCGCATGCAAAAGTGCAAAGGTATCAATCAAACGTATATTCTACTACTTTTTCCAAATGAAACTCAGAAAACAAGCAATTGATTTTCCCGTAGCGAAAGCGAGATATCCAGCTATGATATTATGTTATGAAAGCCTCATAAAAGCCCATGTGTACAACTGTGACAGCATGCTATAATGCATTAACTAAATATTCAGTGTGGAATACAGGATAACCCAAATGAAAAGTAAAAATGCAAAATTTTAACTAAAAGAAGAGAAATGAAGAACTTTAACAGAAAAAAAAATTTCAAATAGTTAAGTACTATTTAGGAACTATGAAATCGAAAGAAAAGGGAAATATTTAGGCAAGCCGGGCTTTTCGGCTTATATGAAAGGCACGCCACTGTTTTTTACTCGATAGTTTTAAAACGATATGTTTTGGAATCGAGTACCAGAATCCTAGTATCGTATCGAATGTCATAAACTCAAGTTAGTCAGGTACGTCAAGTCTTGCTTTCAAGTCTGCTCGTTCCAAGGCGAAGGAGGTGAGAAGAGAGGGGAAGAGTACAGATACCTCTCATCTAAAGAACCAAGAACTTGAAATAATAAAAGTTGTCGCGTGTTGAAGCAAACAGAAAACACGAAAGAGAATGCGAAAAAATTGCTTTCAAGACTTGACGTGTCTGAAAGGAGACTTACAAAGATAATGTGATTATCAACTTTTCCCGATATAAATTGGGCTTTAATGAACAGACATGTGTTTCTATCTTAGGATTACATGTGGCGGGACTTGAACACGCGGTCTCGGTATTTAAGTCGACACCTCAATCTCTAAGTGTAAAAATGATAGATTGGTGCTTACAAAATATATTAGCGTTTGGCCGAGCTTCTCCTCCGATTTGTTGCGTGCGCCTTGATGTTGTGCCACAAAGGGCGTTTTTATGAGAAGCAGGTTTTCATGGCAGAAACACGCTCGGAGGGTCTAATCACTACATACGACACCAATATTCAGATATTTATTTTTTTTTTTGGATTTTGGTATCGATATTTGCGATATCGAGTATTTTTATTCCGATAATAATGGGTACCCGATATTTTTCCAGCGATACTTTAAATGAGTACCATATCGACACTTTCGGTTCGACATCATGTCCCTAGCGACGAAAGCAGCCACAGTAGCATGCTGAAATGGCTCGCTTATATATACACGAGATTTGGAAGTTTTTATCCAGACGCCCAATCGACTTGTTTGAGGTATCTTGAAGGTCTTGCAGAGTGTGTCCAGAAAACGTTTTAAATTTTCATAAACGATTATCCGCATTCTTAAAAATTAGGCTTAAGTGATGCGAAACAAAAAACTTTTTTTTCCTTTTGCCGGTTTAAGGTTTAGTGTTATTCTATAGGCCAATACCTTTCCAACGATACCTTATATATTGTGTTCCGCATACTAGTTGGAAAGATAGAGAGCTAAATTGATTTTGGTTCGCGTCTCCAGTATGATATGATTTGCGATGTGTGTAGCGTCTGTACGTACCTTCATTTAATTCTTATTTTTTAATTTTCAGGAATTAAACTACAAAAAAAGCTAAGAGGGTTTTGTTCCACGGTGTTTCCATTGATATGCCATTGTGGGTGTTGCTGGTGCCTGCATTAAAGAAATACAATTTTTAAACCACCACTGAGACAGCACTACTCATTCGATACAATTTATGTGGATATCAGCAGAAAGGTCTTAAAACCAGATATCTAACGTTGTCTTTTGAGTTTATGAAATACTAGCCAATGCCCGCTGGCTTTGCGGCGCCTAATAAGATTTTTTGCGTTGGCTAATACAAAAATAGCGTTAAAAGCAAAGGCATTTTGTAAAGTATACATTTTTAGTTTAAATTGAAACGAATAAAGAGCAGAATCCTCCTCACAAATAGGCCAAGAATAGCAGCGCTGTGATACCCTATGGAATACTAATACCTTTCGATGTCATGAGTTTTACCGATGGTCTTATTTCCACCTGTGAGATCTCTGCCAAACGTGCGTAATATTCTTCTATGATCTTGCAACTTCAATATTGGTCCGAAAATCATGTAAGCCAGTAAGCCCACAGGATGAAAAGTTTTCCCGTACATTGACTAAATGAGTCGTGTTATCTCTTTAAATATCGTTTTAATGAAGCAATTGATATACCTACCGTTTCCTTCTTTTACGGATGTGGTCGAATCCCTCCTTGTCAATTTCCCACTTTTACAATTTACCTTAATATTTATGAACTGGTTGCTTTGAGTCTTACTGCTGTACTAACGGCCGCCCCGAGCAATTTCGTCAATCGGAGGTTGGTGCAAGATCGCATTTAGGGTGTATGAGGGCGTCAGGCAAAGATGCGCTTACACAATGTTGCGATCTATACATGCATACTTAAACGAATCCTCCATTTAGCCATATGAAAAGTAAATTCGTCTAAGATGAATATAGGCCAAAGTAGACCAAACCTCGTGTGGATTTCTATATATTTCGGCTGCATCGCAATCCATTAGGTCCCTTTTCTGCAAAACCACTGCATGTCATGAAATGAATACGCATTGTGAATTTCAATTAGACTTTATAAAATATACAGGGTTCATTTTTAGGAAACGAATTTTTCATCACACAGGTAGCTCATTTTGCGAATTTGAACGAAATCGGTTTATAAATACGATTTTTATAAGTAACTCTACTCCTGCGCCACCAGCGTGTTGTCTAGTGGGCTATAATATGCAAGATATAACCTCTGACAATTTGACAGGTTTTTGAGTTTAGTCCATACAACGAAAACGGCTATCATTTTATGTATGTATGTACATATATATTTCGAATGAAAAAAAAATCACCATGAAAGTAGTAAACGATTCGAATTTGCATTAACAAAATCGGTTCATAAATAGGTCTTTTATCGGGTCCGTTTTTCGCGAATGCTTTTTGAAATGAAACTTCTTTAGCGGCGGTTGGTTGGTTGGGAGGAAATTGGAAAATTCAACGCAAATTTCACACGGAAATGGTGCAACGGAAATGGTTGGGGCTGAAACAAGTGCTTCTTGTGTGTATGCACATGGTATTAATTTAACAAAAATTTGCTAATAAAAGGTTAAAGAATAACACTTAGAAAAAGACCAATACAACAATGAAAGTGAAGGTGAGTACGTACATAGATAAAGAAAAGGATAATGGCAAAGGTAAAAATGCAAACAAAAACAAAGATGCGTAAAGATAAAGGCAACAATGAAAACCAAGGTAAATTTAAACACTTTACTTATATACGGGCAAAGGTGGAAGGGGAATAAGTAGATGAAGAAAATGATAAACATACAAGTAAAAACAAAGATGAGGATCAGGATACCGATAAAAGTAAAGGTGAAGATAGGGGAAGAAAGATTAAAATAAAGGTTTTTAAAGAGGAAGGATTTAGAGAGAGACGCAGAGACTCAATCTGGGAACTATTTTGGGATTTTAGAGATTTTCGGGATTCTCGAAACTTATCAGTAAAATAATCGATATTTTTATCGGTTTTGTTATCGATCTTGCTATCGAAATTTCTATCGATATTGTTATCAATTTTGCCATCGATTTTTCGGAACTGATTTTGTAATCGATACTTTTAACTATTTGGTTAGCGATAGTTTTTATCGATTTTGTTATCGATACTTATCGATTTTTTATCAATTCATTTATCGATATTTATCGACTTTGCCATCGATATTTATCGATTTTGTTATTGATATTTATCGATCTTGTTATCGATACTTATCGATTTTGTTATAAATTTTGCTATCGATAATTTTATCGATTTTGTTGTCGATATTTTTCGATATTGCTATTGATATTTATTATTGAAATTCACCTAAGATTTAACTGCCATCGATGATATTGATATTAACCATGTATGTATATCGTTTGTTAAAAAAATTTAAAATTAACATTAGTGATGACAGCTAAGCCCTAGATCGGTTCAACATCGGAAAGTAGTTTTTCTGTAAATTACAGATAGATTGTATTCGATATATTGATTAGGACATACGATATTGATTAGATATGTAACGTAAGTTTCAATTCTACTGTGTGGCCCAGGCACAGGCAAGTCGGTTCATAAATGCGACTTTTATAAATAACTCGACTCCCGCGTCACCTAGCTTGTCTATTTTTAGTAGACGTATTTTCCATCACGCTGGTAGCTCACATTTTGAATTTAAAAGAAATCGGTTCATAAATACGATTTTTATAAGTAAATCGACTCCAGCGCCACCTAGCGGGTCTATTTTTCGCATACATATTTCTCATCATGGGGGTAGCACACGTTTTGAATTTGAACAAAATTGGTTCATAAATACGACTTTTATAAATAACTCGACCCCAGCGCCACCTAGCGAGTTTTCCGGTAGCCTATAATAGGACCATATATGCAAGGTATAACCTCTGAAAATTTTACTGAAGTCTATGCAGTAGGTTTTGAGTTAACTCCGAACAACGGAAACGGCTATTGCTTTATATATATAGAAGATAAATATGTCATAACGTTATCGTCTGTGTTATGTATGTATATAACAGCTCAATGTACTAAAAGAGTACTCTCCCACTATACTTCTGTTACTCATTTATGCTGCAAATGAATATGTATAAGTTAGTTGTACGTACTTTAAAATTGAAATAAAGAGTTAGTCGTAAATAGAATTACAATGCGTTTGGTTTAGCGGACTTGATACATATTACTGGCGACGAGGGAGTGTTCGAATTTGCGCGAAGGTCAATTCAAGTGCACCACAGAATTTGGTTGTCTTCGAAAAGGCGTGATATCAGTGGTTTTTTGTTAATAAATAAGAAGATTTATTAACAAGATATCGAGATGACGGAGGCAGCAGTGGCATTTATTGGATCGATAGAGGTTTTTAATATAGGTGACGATTTCGAACTATATAAGAACCGGTTCGAACAGCTTTTATCACTTAACAAAATAGTGAAAGATGGCGATAAAATATCATTTTTGATTAGCTTGGGTGGAGCAGATTTATATAAAACGCTAATTTCGTTGCTGGCACCCAAGACACAGAAAGACCATAATTACGCGTATATTGTGGAAAAATTTACGTCACATTTCAAGCCGAAGAAAAATATTATAGAGGAATGCTTCAAGTTCTTCAAACGTGAACAGCTAGCATCGGAAAAAATTGCCGATTATATAGTGGAATTGAAGCAAATGGCGCAAGAATGCGACTTCGGTAATTTTTTAGATCGTGCGCTTTTAATTAAATTCGTTTGTGGCTTGAATAATGAGCACATACAAAATCGTCTGCTGAACGAAAGCGAGCTAGCGACGTTTGAGAAAGCTTGCACAATTGCATTGTCATTGGATATGACCTCTAACAACATGGAGTTGATGAGAAATAATTCGGTACACCAGTTACGAAGTAATGCGAGGAAGACAAAAGCAGCTGACAATACATCAAAACAAGAAGATGTTCAACGACGGAGGAGCAAAAGTCGGAAACGTAGGGAGATCAAATGTTTTTACTGCCAAAAAGTTGGACACATGGAACGTAATTGCTGGGAGAAACAAAATGCACAGAAATCGTTGGATAAAAATAAGTCCCGTGGTAAATATAAGAGTAATTCGAGTGTAAATAATATAGACTATACAGATAATGATTTTTCTTTTAATTATTTAAACAATATTGCATGCAATCCTTCAAACTCATTGAAAGTTAATATTAAATTAGCAGGCACAGTTTTTAAAATGGAAGTTGATACTGGTGCATGTGTGTCTGTATGTCATATTGCGGATTATAACAAAACATTTAAACATATTAAAATGAATGCGATGAGTAAAAATTTAAAATTTATTACTGGTGAAAGCGTTGTGGTAGTGGGTAGCATTCTTGTGGACGTAGAATTTATGGGAAACCGTTTCAATTTGGAGCTAGTTGTTTTGGATTCTAAAGCTGGGTTTGACCCCCTATTAGGGAGGAATTGGCTCGATGTCATTGTTCCACAGTGGCGTGGCATTTTTGGTAACGGCGAGATTAACCAACTCAGTAATAATTTGAAGCTAAATACTTTTGATTTTTATAAATATAACCAATTATTTTCTAAAGATAATAATTCGACAATCAAAAGTTACGTTGCTGAAATAGTGTTAAAGGATGAGCACTATCCAATATTCGCGAAAGCTTATTCCGTACCGTTCGGGTTGCGAAAAAAAGTTGAGGACGAAATTGGTCGTCTTTGCCAACAGGGTGTGATTGTTCCAGTTAGTAGAAGTCGGTGGGCTAGTCCAATTGTGATCGTAAATAAGGGAGATGGCTCAATAAGGCTATGTGTCAACTGTCGAAGGACAGTTAACAGATTTATTGAAATGGAATATTACGTTATTCCATGAATCGACGATATATTGGCAAATTTAAGTGGTTGGAAATATTTTTGCAAGTTAGATTTGACGGGCGCGTATTTGCAGGTGAATGTCTCAGAAAGGTCTTGGGAATTGTTAACGATTAACATGCGCATAGGGTTGTTTCAATTCACACATTTGGTGTACGGGCTTAAAACAGCGCCACAAATTTTTTCAAAAATACTGGATGAGGTTCTGAAAGGTATAGAGAAAGTACAAGTTTATTTTGACGATATTCTCGTTGGTGGTCGCGATTTAGACGAATGTAAGAAAAACTTGAAAGCTGTGTTTGACAAATTGTTAGAGTACAACGTGAAGATAAATTTTAAGCCCGTTATGTTCGTTTCCAGTACGTTGAAACCCGCTGAGCGGAACTATTTGCAACTGCATCGAGAAGCACTCGCGATTGTCTTCTCGGTCCGAAAGTTCCACAAATACATATACGGTTTGCCATTCATCATCGAGAGTGATCACCAACCTCTAAAAGAAATTTTCTCCGAACATAAAGATCTTCCAGTTGTCGCTTCCAACCGATTGCAACGGTGGGCTATTTTCTTGTCGATGTACAACTATACAGTCAGATATAAGAAAGGTTCGAAGATGGGTCATGCAGATGCGCTGTCGCGCTTGCCATTAGCAGAAGAGACTAATGATGACGCAGATAGTATAAATATTTTTACGCTAGTCCAGGAGTTACCGAATAACGTAGATGACGTAAGGGCGGCGTTAGAAAGCGACGAATTGTTGAAAAAGATTTTGAGGTATGTTAAATTTGGTTGGCCTGATAAATTGTCGAATTCCGAGAAGATATTTTTTAATAAGCGGTTATCGTTGGGCACGGAAAGAGGTTGCTTGTTTTACGGAGATAGGTTAGTAATACCTAATAAATTAGTTAATAGAATTCTTGAATTACTTCACAGTGAGCATACCGGAATTGTGCGCATGAAATCACTTGCTAGAACGTATGTCTGGTGGCCAGGGATAGACTCTAATATAGAGAACTATGCAAAAAGTTGCGAAAGTTGCTTAAAAACGCAGAACAATAGGAAGCCAATTGTAGAGCCTTGGCCTGAGTCAGAGTTCCCATTTCAACGTGTTCATTTAGATTTTTGTAAATTTGAAAACCATGATATTTTGGTCCTTTATGATACTTATTCAAAATGGATCGAGGCTAAAGTGTTGAAGACTACTACCGCGGTTGCTGTAATTGGAACATTACGCACTTTATTTGCGACTTTTGGACTACCAAAACAAATCGTTAGCGATAACGGACCGCCATTTGGGTCAAAAGAATTTGTCGAATTTTGTAAAAACAATACGATTGAATGTCTAAAATCGCCACCCTACCATCCGCCTGGTAGTGCGGAACGCGGTGTACAAACAGTCAAAACTACTCTAAAGAAGTATCTACTTGATCCTAGAGTTAAATTTAAACCTTGGGATTTAAAAATAAAAATTTTTTTAATGAAATATAGAAATACCCCTACCACAACAACAAGGAAAACGCCAGCAAGTTTAATTTTTAGTTATAAACCAAAAACCTTGTATGATTGTGTAAATCCAAAGGCAAGGGAAACTTTTATCGACAAAGAGAAGGAGAGAGATATATCAAAAAGCAATAAGAAAAATTTTATGCAAAAATCTATTCTTAAAAGTAAGGAGAATATATTAGAGTTTAAACCTAATGAAGTTGTATTATACAGAAATATTTTTGATAATTATTGTAAATGGATAAACGCAAAAGTTGTCCGAAAACTCAGTAATGTGAGATATTGCTTATGCATAAACGGTAAGCAAAGAATTGCACATGTGAATCAAATGAAAAAATTCCGGGAGTGTCTATTCGCACTTTGCCAGTGTCATCAGTGTACCAGTGTCACCAGTGTACCAGTGCCACCAGTGTCGCCAGTGTCGCCAGTGTCACCAGTGTCACCAGTGTACCAGTGTCGGGAGTCTTCGGCTCTGCCAGTGTCACCAGTGTACCAGTGTCGCCTGTGTCGCCAGTTTCACCAGTGTCACCAGTGTACCAGTATCACCAGTTTCACCAGTGTCGCCAGTATCACCAGTGTCACCAGTGTCACCAGTTTCACCAGTGTCACCAGTGTCGCCAGTATCACCAGTGTCGCCAGTTTCTCCAGTGTACCAGTGTCACCAGTTTCACCAGTGCCACCAGTTTCCCCAGTGTACCAGTGTCACCAGTTTCACCAGTGTCACCAGTATCACCAGTGTCGCCAGTTTCTCCAGTATACCAGTGTCACCAGTGCCACCAGTTTCCCCAGTGTACCAGTGTCACCAGTGGCAATAGTTTCCTCAGTGCACCAGTGTCACCAGTTTCACCAGTGTACCAGTGTCACCAGTGTCGCCAGAGTCACCAGTGTCGACAGTGCCGCCAGTGTCACCAGTGTCGCCAGTGGTACCAGTGTCACCAGTGTACCAGTGTCGCCAGTTTCACCAGTGCACCAGTGTACCAGTTTCACCAGTGTACCAGTTTCCCCATTGAACCAGTGTCACCAGTGTACCAGTGCCACCAGTGTCGACAGTGCTGCCAGTGTCACCAGTGTCGCCAGTTTCACCAGTGTACCAGTTTCCCCAGTTTCACCAGTGTCAATAGTTTCCCCAGTGTACCAGTGTCGCCAGTGTCACCAGTCATACATCATACATCTATATATATAAAAATGGTGTGAAAAATGTATTGTAATTCATCAATTGAGAACGTTTGGGCCGATTTGGCTAAATTTTTTTTCAGTTGTTCGTAATTGCCAGGAGAAGGTTTTTACGAAAGAAAATTTTGGGAAAAGACACTAGTAAAATTAAAACGTTAATACTGAACGATTTACGCATTGTCATGGTTTGGAACTTGTTACCAGGGGGTTTCTAGGGTTACTAATTAGGAATCTGAAGTCAGTTTCTCGAAATTCAAAATGGCGGATCCAAAATGGGGGTCCATTTTTAAAAAAATTGATTGGATTTGTTCGAAACCCGGCACTCGAGAGTTTTTGTGGTCGCCGATTACGAATCTGAAGTAAATTTTTTTAAATTAAAAATGGCGGATCCAATATGGCGATCAAATTAAAAAAAGTACTAAAATTATAACGTTGATACTGAACGTTTTAAACATTGTCAAGGGTTAAAACACGTTCCCAGTGGGTTTCTGGGGTTGCTGATTACGAATCTGATGTCAGATTTTCAAAATTCAAAATGGGGGAACCAAAGTGGCGCCCAACTTTAAAAAAAATGATTGGATTTGTTTTAAACTCTTAACCGCAAAAAAAAGGAAAATATTTGAAAATTTAAACTAAGTTATTTTGATAAAATAAATGAAATACGGTAATTTGGGTATCAAACTTTAGATTTTTAGGAAGGCTTATAGCCGAAAATATGTTTGAGGAGGGTTGCCACCTTTTTGAAAATTTAACCGCCCTTGGTTCAATAGTTACATAAAGAATCTTATTCACAAGCT